CCCCACCCCGTATCATGGCAAAATCTAAAGTAGAACAAATCTCATGAGTAACAGAAAGTAGCACTTCTGGGTGCCAGGTGATGTGCCTTTGAGGTTGAAAACTGCTTCTTCTGCCAAAGTAAATACCCCTACTTGGGGACTGTGGAGAGTGGAGGAGCTCTTCTCCTAGCAGCATAACCTGAGACCTGCCTGCACTCATGCTGGGCAGGGGAGTCCCCCAGCATGTGTGTGGCTGTCCCAGTGATGGACCAAGCAAATTTTATGCGATGGACATGTAAAGGACTTCAGGATCATTAGGGATGAATCATGCTGTAAAATGTATCATTAATGTTACTAGATGTACTATAGACTTCTGTGATCTGAGACTGCTGCAGGCAGTGTGCTGGGAGAAAAGCTTTCCAGATTGTGCTCATGCAAATTTCTGTCTGTGATCACATTCGTTCTGGTTCCCACTACAACATTACTTTCACACTCATGTGTGCTGATCACTCAGTCTAAACTTTTTTGTTATTGCAGGTTGTATGACTACAACATAGCATCCCTTTGCTAACACCTTTACAAGGGTGAGAAAACATACAAATATGGAAACAAAGACACAAGAAATCTAATGGATATGCTTAAACTTTCCCAGGAAGGGGGTGGAGTTGGTCCTAACCTTTGCCTCCTGACTTGAACATGTGCCCTAACAGATTACTAGATCAGGGCAGCTGTCAACTTGTTCATGGCATTTAGTTCAGCTTGTCTTTTTGTTCTGAACCATTGTTTTATTCTAAACTGGGGATCTTTATAATTCAGATAGGAATTTCTGAATGCTGGGAAAAGCAAATGTGAAATCTGATCTATTTCGAATCCGTCCTGCTCTACTGTGAACAGTTAGTCTCATAAACTCTGTTAAATCATGCAAACAGTATTTTAAAATAATTTAGGATTGATACAGTCACAAAATAGCCATATAATAGGAGACAGAGGATGAGCAGATATATCCAACAAATGTTTTTTAAACATTGCAAGTGAAATGAAGAGCCAAAGGAATGGCAAGGAAACCTATGGCCAGTGACATAACCTGTGCCAAGAGCCTCAGAACAACCAGACTGGGAATGTAGGAGAAAAGCAGGCAGTGCTCTAAAAAATGATAAAAGCAGGAAATCACAGGCAAATCCTAGTCATGAATTAATCCGACAGAAGTCAAATCCAAGAAATTGTGATCAGTGAATCATCAGTAAAAGGGCACTTGCATGTAACATATGAGTTCAATTCACAGGTACCCAGTCTGTTTTTTAAAATTAAAATTTAAAATAGGTCAAAAATATTCAGTGTTCAGATGAAAGTTGAAAAAAGAAGCTTTCAAGATCTCAAGTCTGTATTTTGAATGTTTGTCTAATACATCAACACAGGCTGACTTGCCAGAAATATTAAAATACAAGTAAAAGATCATAAATTAGTAAATTGTCAAGTATTCTTAATATGTATTCTCATTGCCAGACATTTATAATAGTAAAAGCAGGTTACTTAAATAATTAGTGCCAGCTAGTACTCAGAGAGCTCAGAACAGTTTAACTTTAATATGGAGAGCAAACTAGGTTTGCTTCAGGAAAGCCATCCTGAAAGAATTAACAAAGATTTAACTTGGATACATGAAAAGTTTCTGTATTTTAGATTTGAGTGTTCATTTATAGAACTATTATACCATGCAGTAGAAATCTTTTATTAAACCAATGGATTCATTTATTTGAAATAAAATTTTTGTTCAGTCACTGTATTTTGATAGACTAGGCTCTGCACATAGACAGGAGATAATGGATTGAACAGGATGTCCTTGAAGGAGAAGAGCTCCTTCAGATTACCTCTCTAATGGAGATACCTCTCAGGAGATATCCTGCTTCCAGTACTCGTTGCACTTCTGAAGGCTAAGAGGAAAGATGCACCATGCTATCTGGTGTAACAAATCAGCTCCTGAATTACCTAACTATAAAACTCACAGGGAAAAAATTAAATAATCTCTTTTTAAAATATCTCAATGTCGTTTTAAAACCTATTTAGGAAGATCAGCTCTGGTACCTTTATAGCAGCTTAGCCATGTGCATTGTAAAGGCTCACTAGTACTGCTGCTATCACTGGGTTTTGAAATGAGTATAGCACAAAGTTACTAAATCAGTTTTGGTCTTACAGAACCATTTGGTCATACTTTCAAGCAATTAAAGAAATTGATGTACAGAGACTTTTAAAAGGAGGCAGGAGACAAAATTTTATGGACACACAGAGCTATAACAAGATATAGATTACATTTTGGAAAAGAAAAAGGAAGCAGAGAAGATTTGCAAGACATATTCTAACACTTGTAAAGTGAAGCAGAGAAATGAAAAATTAAAACTTTGGGTTACATATTTAAAGAAATTTTCCCACGCATTACATAAGGGATGCTGGAATAAGCCAACATTTTGTGTCATAATAGGCATACAAAACATATTCCTCCAGGCTTAGTAAAAACCAGAGAAACAGAAGAATTTGTGTGCATACAAAGTCCCCAAAACCAGTGTCTTAGCACATATGGGAATTTATAGTCTCAAGATTAAAATTTGCTGGGGTAATCACTCCGCTGAGCTTGTTGTGAAAAAAAAAACCCCACAACAGAAAAAAAAAAAACAAAAACCCCAAAACAAACAAAAAAAAACCCACAAAAAAACCAGCCCTGTATCTATAAATTTTGAATATTGATGTCTTTCCCTCTTTTCACTAAACCATGTGTATGTCTGTGTGTGTGTGTGTGTATGTCTGTACCCATCTCCCCACCTCATGTCTTCAGCTACCACTTTGTTACAAAGAAAGTCAAAAAGAGCTCTGCTGAAGCACTTTATTCATAGTAGGACCCAGTAATTCAGATGAAAGTACAGCAGCTAAAGGCAGATAAAAATGGTGCTATTTCTCTCTATTATAAAAGTCTTAGGCCTCTCTATGAAACACTTTAGTCACCTACTTTGCACATCAATGTTGCACAAATGGCCTTGTTCATACTTAAAATAGTGTAGACTGAGCTTATCGTTTCAGTCATTCACACCACTCAGAAACTGTTTGAAGTCTCTCTAGGAGAAAAAGTCAGCAAACTCTTATTTTTTATGTATTCACAGTTTAAACCTGTTGAAGTTCTACTTCTCTGTCTCAAAAAAAGGAAAAAGTTTTGCTTTCAGGGGAAAGAAAAACAAAGATCACACTGTTTTTAAGACCAATGCATTCTGTTACCATTTCTCAATGCAGCTCTAAAGAGAAAAAAAGCAGGCTAGTTCGAGTGTCATGAATCTTGTAAGAAGACTTGCAGGAAAAGCTATTTTCTTTAGGAGCAAATATCCTGCCACCTTAAAATATCCAGTACAGTATGAAAGCTAAGATCAACGTGTTTCAGTATTTTTTTTAAACTCATGGTAAAAAAAAATGACTGCAATAGGAGACGTGGTGAAAATTATGCCATCTTTTTGGTTTCCATATTCATCAATGAATAAATAAGCTTCATCCTCATCTCTCTGAAAGTACATCTTCTCTTCTCTTACAGTCCATTGTGTCTCTGGCCCATGGACACTCCACACTGAGAGAAATGAAATACTGGTAGTTTCAGGGAGAAGTGAGAAAATTATTTAGCCTTGTAAAAAAGTAGAATTCAAATAAACCAGGCACATCCAGGTATTAAGGAGTCCTTTTCTGATCGTGGGAAAGGATCAAATGTGTTTAAGTCTAACCTAAAAATGATCCTGAATGCTAATCAACTAATGTATTGTTAACAGAGTCTTCCCTTTTTCCTTAAGAAATTTAATACAACCATTTATTTATACACTGTTATATAAAAGACTCTTTGCCTCGCCCCTTTCAAAAACATTTAAAGATCTGTGAAAAAAGTAATTCTTAATAAATAAGATAGCAGCTTTGCTATATTATTGGAAACAATAGTAAGAAACAATAACATTTAGCAGTTTCTAATTTCAAGTATTGATCAGCATAGTATGCTGGGCATGTAGAAGTTCTACCAGAGGAGGATCCTCTTATCTTTAATCTCTTGTTTTATATGAGGTGCTGCCAAGTGCATTTCTGATAGTGGGTAAGAAAATTAAACTGGAGTGCTAAGTCCACCTTGCTGTCACCTCAGTGTGAATGTCCTGCCATACAGTTGACTTTTGTGGAGGCATCTCAGGTGTATGCTGAGGACAGAGAAGGAGTGCTTGTCTCCTAGCTCCAGTGCTCACACTGTGGAAGAGAAGCAGTAAGAATATACAGATGCAGAATATAGGCAAGGCACAGGTTTGATATTTGCTCTTGAAGATTTAATTTTGTAGCCTTTGTCTGAAAGTAAGACTTTTTTGCAGTGCATTACTGCTTCAAGCAAAGTCCAAAAGGCTTTCTTTTCTATACTGACTTTATCTAATGAGTAAAACTGCAGTGGTAATGAAATTGACAGGTGCTTCACCTGTGTGTCTGAGCCTGTTTTAGTGAAAACAGTGGTAAAACTCCTGTTGATTTTCTGGAGAAAACTGAAGCCCAGGGTCTATGACAGGTGTGAATACTGGTAGCTGAATGTTGGTAGGTCTTTAATAACAGCTGACTGCCAGATATAAAACACAAAAATACCCCTGGATTAGAAAGCAAGGGGAAAATCCTACCGTCTGGCCATCATTTACATTATTTGTTTAAGTAAAATGTGCATCCTAAATACCACTCTGAATAATTCTTCCCCAGTGCTAGGAAATGGTTAAAATCTGGCCACAAATAAGGTTTTCATGACTTGGCCTGAAGTGAGTAAATTCCACATAGAATTGAAAGGAATCCAGTCCTTAAAACAGTGTTGGAGGTAATATTCTAGTTTCACCTCTATCCAAATAATCTGAAGTTGTAATTGGTGTATTGTAACAAGACCTAAATATATCAAACAAAGAACCAATCTGATCACACCAACTGCATCTCCCAAAGCCACCTGCTGTAATCTGCATACATCTAAAAATAAGTCAGAAAAAAGTACATTATTTTTAAAAGAAAGCTTTATTCTTCATACAAACCTGACTCTGTCACATATCACACGGCATCATTAACAAGGTAATGCAACTTTGCTTAAATCAAACAATATTGCATCATGAAAGTATCCAACGGAGTTAGTATCAGCTTTGTTCTTTGTTCTCTCCTGGATGGAATGTATGTGTGTTTTGGTATCAACTCATCTCCTTTAAACTGCTAGCTTATCCAGCATGTTATATGAATGACATCTTTGTCAGGTAAATCCACCACAGGTACTAAAATCAGAGCTGGGGTCTTCTCTTCCAAATATTTTTCAAGGTATTCTTGCAGTCCTAAAATAGAAACAAAGCAACTAATGACAACTTGTCTTATTGTGTCCTATCTCTTAAGAATGATTTCTAAATAGTTTTCTGAAAATTATTGTGGAGTAGCAACTAACAAAAGGAAGTGAAATGCTGCTCTTAAATTTTCCCTTTATTTAGAAGGAAAATCTCCCACCTCCTTAATTGAGATTAACTTTGCATGTTGCCTAAGGCCAGACTTCAGCAAAACAGTTAAATGCGTATTTCTCAACCTTGAGTGAGTGAGTGGTCTGTTGATTACAGATACAGAGAACTGAACTAGAGTAGTAGTAGAAATACCAAAAGGCCAGCTGAAATTCAGTTCTTTGTAATTTTTGATATTTGGATGATCAGCACATAGTTGTCTGTAAATGAAACTCTTTTCTCAAGTTCTATTTTGGGGCATCAATCAAAAGAGAAGAAGTTAAAAGTGGCCATTTAAAAAAAAAATATTATGAACTTAATTTCCATTTGTAATCAATGGATGCATGCCATTTTGAAGACATAATGGAGGAAGTCCAGGAATGGCAACATATATGACTGAATATTTGGAATTACAGTTAGATTCAAACTGCTAAAAAACCAGAATCTGGCTACAAGAAGCTCTAAAGGGACTGGTATGTGTGGCAGAAGTTTGCAAATTTATAAGTCCATTTTGGGAACAGAATTAATAATTGAGAAGAACTAATTACAATACAGAAAAAAAGTAAAGAATAGAAAATTTAAACTTGGCATCAAGACATTCTTGTTTGTGCTCAGCCTGAGTGAACATGCTGGAAACCAAACCACACAGAACCCTAAAGAAAACTACCAAAAAGCCACTGAATGACCCACAAAAGACAGTTTCCTAATAATAAGGTATAGCCTGCAAGGTTCTTGTTTCAATAACGTATTTCTGTCAGCAGCTTCTGGGATTATGGCAATTCTTTATAACACTAAGCAATCTTGGCTAGAAAGGGTGTAAAGAGGGCAGAACTTGCAGACTGTCAGAGCATTTTTTTTTTTTTTGGCGTCACTGCCTGTGAAACTGCGAATAGGCAGTTCAGTCAAAGTGTTACCTTATCCAGGATAAAACAGGAATTTTGCAATTGTATTCACTGAAGCCAAAACTCCTCTTTTTTTATCTGGCAGCAGTAGCACAAATTAATGTAATGTAATAATGGCAATGCTGCCTACAAAATACTGCAAAGACAGTACCAGTCTTCTGAAATTCTGCTGGTTTCCTTTTGTATTAACATCATTGACTTTGGAGTTGAAGACAGACAAGGGAGAGCCAAAGATCAACAGCTACCTCAAAGGTCAAAGCACTGCTTCATCTGGTGTGCAAAAAGGAACTCATTCTCTGCATTACAGATATTCATTAGTGACCTGGTAATTAACTATTAACTAGCATTTTTCTTGAAAAATTTGACCTCAGAAAATTTTATGGCTATGCTGACTCAGAAGACTTTAAGCGGAAGGGGTAAAGACAAGCCACCTTAAAATCACTGATTTCACCCTATTAAAATTACATTCATTTTTAAAATCAATTAAAATTGTGAAAATACAATTTTAGACTTTAGCATTTTATGCACAGGCTTAAAAACTGTGAATCAGTGCTAAAAGCTATCAAAACAAGTCCATGTATACCTTTTAGAGGGAGAATTTTAAAGTGGGGCTATCTGGAAATAGAACTCCATTCTTTGGTGGGTTTGAGGTGGCCAATATTTTTGCCAAAATAGCCATAAACATTTACATTTGAATGCACCCTAGTAGCCTTGCTTGTCAAACAGGAAGGGCCACCTTTCCTAAAGACCAATGCCTTTTCTATTGCCAGTGCCTATATATATAAATGAAATGTGGATAAAAATCTGGGACTTATGCCTCTAAATATTTTACTATATTTACAAATCAATTAGTTTGATATGAAAGCAGTGCACATCTAAGTGCAGCTTAGATGTGAATATTTATACACTTAAAAATTGTGGATAAAAGTCTGCTCATGCAAACTTCCCCTAAAAAGCGGAGACTGGGTCTTCTAAAACAGTAAAATTGTACTCTAAGGTCTCACAGAAGACAACATACAATTAGTAGATCTGTGGCAACCTATGAAATTATAGTAAGCTAAAAAAATTGACAGCTATATATTTTACCTGCTATAACAGGTTACTCTAAATCTTCCAATACTAATGGTATATTCTTAATGATGGGAAATTAATGAAGACACTATTTATATTTTTTTTCCTCATTCAAAATATGATTTTAGATAAATTAGAGCCATGAGTGTTTTCTAAATGTGTAACTTTGTTTGATTACAAAGATTTTCAAAAATGTCCTTCCTTTAATACCCTATATGGGGAATGCTTGTTCAGTTGTATGCCATACTTATAAAAGTTGATTTTAAAAGCAAAAACAAGTAAAGGACAAAGGGTTACAGTGAGTGTGTTTACTGGAGGTTTAATAGTGGCTATATGGGTATAGATGTCTGATGACAGTCTTACAGTTATTTAAACTGCCCTGAAAGAGGATGTTTAAGTACAAGCAAAACCAGCTGATTATCAAGCAGCAAACAAGAGATGTGCATTGTGGATCTTTTAATTTCCTCTGAAAATCCACACCAATTATGCTAGCCACACTTGCAGTTTCTATAGAGGCCACCCAGGAACTCCTGAGGTAAGAGAAGTCAACAGGGAAACATGAAGGAAATATCTCAAAGACATGAAGGGAAGCCTTTAGGAAGCTGACAGCCCAGCTGAGGCACCTTTACACCAACGCAAGCAGCATGGAAACGGGAAGAGCTGGAAGACACCATGCTGCCCGACATCATGTCCTTGTTGCCATTACAACGCAGCTGAAGGTGGGCCCATGGGAATCTCCTGAGGTTTAACAAACCAAGTGCAAGCTGTTGCACCTGGATTGGGATCACCCCTGGTGTCAGCACAGTCTGGGGATGGACAGATCAGAGCAGCCCTGCCCAGAAGGACTTGGCGTGCTGTGGGTAGAGGCTGGACATGACCCACCCATGGGCACTCCCAGCCCAGAGAGCCAAACGTGTCCTGGGCTGCATCCAAAGCAGCGTGGGCAGCAGGGTCAGGAGGGGATTCTGCCCCTCTGCTCTGCTCTGCTGAGAGCCCACCACAGGAAGGACATGGAGCGGCTGGAGTGAGTCCTGAAGAGAGCCTTGAAGATGATCAGAAGGATGGAGAACCTCTTCTACAAGGAAAGGATGAGAAAATTTGGTTTGTTCAGCCTTGAGAAGGCTTCAGTATGACCTTATTGTGGCCTTCTAGTACCTAAGGGGACCATACCAGAAAGATGGAGAGGGTCTGTAGTGACAGGACAAGGGGGAAATGGCTTCAAACTGAAAAAGAGTAGATTTAAATTATGTATTAGGACAAGATTCTTTACTGTGTGTAGTGAGGCACTGGAACTGATTGCCCAGAGAAATTGTGGATGCCCCAGCCCTGGAAGTGTTCCTGGTCAGGTTGGATGGAGCACAGGGAAATCTGGTCTAGTAAAACATGTCCCTACCAAAAGGCAGGGGGTTCGGACCTCCTCAAAGCAGGTGAACTTCATCCTTCAAGATGGATCCCCTTGCTCCCAAATAATCCACAGTAATTCAGGGAGCAGGTTCCATATGAAGTGTCTCCTGCACTACTGTATGTGTGTATGTGTGTATATATATATATATATATATATATATATATACATATATATATATTTTATTTTTTTTAACCTTGGTGCAGCTGAGGAGTATGGACATAACTAAAACTTAAAAGTGAACAAAATTTATTCAGTGCCTTCTGGCATTACCATTTATTTCTGCCATCGCTTTGTGAAGCCAGGATACTGAAATTAATAATTTGATGATTTCTCATGCTGACTTAGCACCCACTTCCATATAGTATGGCACAAACTAAGAGTGTAAGCTATTGTTTTTAAAGGTGATTTTCATACCAGGTAGACAAAGCAGTGCTCAGAGAGCTTTTAAAGGATCATTCCAAAAGACTAGGAGTTGATTTCTATATCTTTGCTGTCACTGCTCTCAGCTGGATTTAAGCAGCATCAGGTGAGGCCACAGAATCCATTTACATTTTTCAAAATCAGGTCCCTGTTATTGTTGCCATACTCTTATTTCACTGTATATCTGCAGGGGAGTAGTAATCTAATAGCTCATATGAAGAAGGAAAATGGTAGCAAAAAGGAAAATGGTAGCAAGAAGGAAGATCACATTTAACCCAGTACATAAAAAATCACTTTCATATCACTTCTATCTTTCCTTCACTTTTTAACCAAAATATATTGTTACATTGCTTAGAGCAGGTTTTAAATCCCTGAGCTAATAAAGCTCCATTGCTTCTGCTGCAGAGATCTGACATGCAGCATGTACTTTGAAAAGATGCATCAGAGAGGATCAGGTTCCTAACAGTTGACTAAGAGTTCCAGTCCCAAAAGATCTGCCCCTGGTGTGCAGAACACTTAACCCTTCGACCAGTACCAACATGACTATTCACAAATTATTGATGTCCCTAAATCCCTGGCAGATTGCAGACAGTTCTTGTCTCCCTTGAAGCCAAAGCATATGGTCACTAATGAGATGGATTAAAAATACATATACACATTCAGGGCTTTGCCACATGAATGTAAAGCCACAGAAATGTTAGAAGGTGATTGAACTGGACTGAACACTGTTAAATACATGATTAGCTTGTTATGGATCATTTCCATTGATCTATATTCAGTTTCACAGCATAGTTTAATTAAAGCTGTCTGGAACAAGCGTCTGCCTTAAATGATCAGGCAGTGCAATGAAAAGGTGAAACACGAGGAACTAGAGATGCCCCTCCCTTTCTTAAGCATCCAGCTGACTGTCTCTGTGGTGTCCAACCACAGCAAGATCAGAAGCTATGCTTTAAAAGATTGTCTGTTTTTACAGTCCAGGGTTTTTACATATTTTTCATAATAGAAAATGATGTAGTGGAATATAAAATTTGGGAAAAAAAAACCTGCAT